AAGTAGCAGTAGACGTAGACGTAGACGTAGAAGTAGAAGCGTAGACGTAGCCGTAGAAGTAGAAGCGTCGACGTAGAAGTAGAAGTAGAAGTAGAAGTAGAAGTAGAAGTAGAAGTAGAAGCATAGCAGCAGCAGCAGCAGCAGTAGTAGCTGCAGTAGCAGGAGGAGGAGTAGTAGTAGTAGTAGCAGTAGTAGTAGTAGTAGTAGTAATAGTAGCAGTAGTAGTCGTGGTGGTGGTAGTAGTAGTAGTAGCAGCAGCAGTAGTAGTACTGGTGGTGGTGGTGGTGGTGGTGGTGGTGTGGTAGTGGTAGTGGTAATGGTAGTGGTAGTGGTAGTGGTAGTGGCAGTGGTAGGAGTAGTAGTAGGAGCAGTCGTAGAGGTATTGGTAGTGGTAGTGATTGTTGTTGTTGTTGTTGGTGGTGGTGGTGGTGGTGGTAGCGGTGGCGGTGGCGGTGGCGGTGGTGGGGGTGGTGGTGGTGGTGGTGGTGGTAGTGATACACCGGTGCGCCACTGATCAATACCACTACCGCTACCATTGACGACGCTGGCGGCGGCTTTGACTGCAGCTGATGCTGGCTGCTGCTGCTGCTGCTGCCACTGATTCTGCTGACTTTGGCTGTGACGGCATGATGCCATGTTGTTCCTATTGGTACGGACTTTTGTTACAAGTACAAGGTCCGGGAAAACGAGTTTCGTCTTCTGTCTTGCCATGCTGACACTGACCGACTTGAGGCGGTGTCACTGGGTGGCAGAGCGGCAGAGGAGCTCCTGCGTTTTGGGGCTGTGTCCGCCTTTTTCGTTGCCTGGGCCTCGTCCCAGTGGAGAGGAGCTTTTTGTGGGAAAGATTTCCACTGGTGCCTCGGACGACTTGGACAAGGCGGTGCATTGACGGTGTGTCTGCGTTGACTCACACTAGCTGAAAAAGCATGGTGCTCATCATTACTTGAAACAGGTCACGAAGATGGCGCATGTGCTTTGGCTTGCAAAGTAGATCGTGTACAAGACCTCCGTTTTTTTCAGGGTTGCTTTTGGTATCGGTAGGATGTGGGCCATGGGTGCTTGTTGACCATGTGAGGCACGCGGGTAGGATAGGCTCCGGATTGCGGCTTGGAGCCATGGCATGGCGAGGCAATGTTCGCTTTAAGAGCACTGTAGAACGTGCCCTCAATCCCTGCAGCAAGCTTAGAAATATAACTCCGCAGTAGATGGCCGAGGCTATGGTGGCAGTCTATGGCATGTCCGATAAGATTGGATTGCTGAATTTCGGTCAGAACGATGCAAGCAACCAGTTCTACAAGCCCTACAGCTACTGGGCGCCAATCTGGGCACATGTGGCCAGCCCAACTGAACTCTGTGGGTGTTGGTTTTTCTGCAGGCGAAGCCACTGGTCAGATGATCGACAAAGAGACGCGAGAGGTAGTGGATCAGCAGTACGAGAGAGTGAAGAAGCTGCTGCTCCAGCACGAGGAACAGCCCATGCTGTGGCGCGAGTACGTTAGTGATAGTTTCAAGCCTGTGATGTTGAAAGCAAGTGAACGAAGACGGTTGCTGACGAGCGTAGCATTCCGCGTTGGTATTAAGTCAGCGGTCCTGAAATGCTCAAAGCTCAAAGAACAAGGCTCGGTGCTGCAAGTAGCTCCGGCATCTGCTTGCAGCAATGCTTGCAGCAGGAGAAGCTCCGCTCGCTCACCGAAAGCAGCTTCTCTGCACCAGACATGACGCCGACGCTTTGGAAAGTTCCCTGCCTCACGGCCTGGTTGCGACAAGGACTAAATGCCAAGGAGACCTTGGTGTACAATGAGCTGGTCGAGGCTCACACATGGGTCCAACTCCCGCTGAAGCTCATGAGATTTTTCATGCCTTGAGTATCCTCAGCTAGAGAAGATGTGCTGGAAAGCGTGGTCCCTCAAGGTCTTGGGGGAGAGGCCCTATGAGATGAAGCAACTCGTCTTGATGTCGGCCGAGCGGATGTAGCATTCTACTTCGGTTGCCTTTGCAGTCTTCAGAGCATCTTTCTCTGCTTCATCGTCTCATGAACTAAGGAAGGAAATCAGTGCCTTCGTGACAGCAGGAGCCAACCCCTTCGCCGCAGAAGCTGAGGAGAAGGCTGCAGAAGGCACCCTTGCAAATCAGCGCATTTCGCTTCTGCACATTCGAGGACGCGGCGCTCTGCGCGCGAGATAGTACTTTCTGTGAGCATCTTCAGGCCCTCCGGACAGTGATGGACCGGCACCTGGACTCCAGCCCGCGTGAGCTGAGCTCACATTCGGGTTTCTTAATCGCCCCTAAGATTAACGTACAGCGCGCCGTGCCGCGCCGTCTCGAAGTAGACGTTTGCTACAAATGCGATCCAGAGCTGAAGATGTTTCCCTAAGGAAGAGCATTTGGCAATCATTGACTCGCAAGTATGGCAAGTTACCTCCGGTGGGAAATCTTCAGTCCTGCCTGTGCGCATATTTACATGAGCTTGCGTGGAGAGGAATGGATCGGCGAAGTGTCACGAATTCGTAAGTTCGGAAATCAGATCAAGCTCAGAAGCCTTGGGGCTCCGGACTTCCAGCCCCGTGCAAAATGCATGTCCGTGGGTTGTGAGGGAGGGAGCTCAAGGCTCGATTGATTTTCTGCAGCTCCGAGCCTTGCCTACGACTGCCCGCCGGCCTGAAGTATCGGTCTCTTGTGGGCCATCTTGGATATGATACGAGATGAGATAATATGATATGTTACAGCTGAATGCAGAAGCAATGCTCGGGGCTGGCATCCAAACCCCAAACCGTTGCGTGCTAGTAGAATGCTAGACGCTAGAGCGCAGTGTTGCTTTGGGTACATTGGGCATGGTGAAGCACCATGCTGAACCACCGCTGTGTGATCTCTCAATGCCTGCAGATTAATTTAGAACAAAGAATCTCACCAGCAAAGACGAAGTGATGGTGATGGCTTGGGAAATGCTCAGCGGGATGCCAGTGGTACAGAGGCCCCATGGACGTGAAGAAATCGTCGCTAAGATGCTGCTGTTGAATGTTTGGACATCAACCCCCCCTGCTGCAACTCCTCGTGCTGGCCCAACCATCCCAGGGTGGATTTTGCAAAGCTGCCTGAGGTGCTGGAGTCAGAAGAAATTCTCAGGAATTGCTTTGGCCTCGGAGCATCCCGTGGGATGAAAATGCAGCTTGGTCTTTGCCATTTCGCAAAGTAGCGGGACATGGCCTGTGCCCGTGCAGGTCCTCTGGAGAAAGCAGCGCATGGTAGGCACGAGGCAGATGATGGCTTCGGTAGTCTTGCGACGCACCGACCCAACCTGCCAGTCTGATGCCTTTGCTCCACGCTTTGGTAGCGGATCGCTTGGAGGCCAGCGTGTCCTCGCAGCCCTGATGCCCGGGTTTTGGCATTGAAGACAGGACGCCGTGGCCATCAATTTCGCCGTCTACACCCTCAGCTTAGCTGCCAGGATCCTTGGGCAGTCCGTGCCATGTCTGGATCGAGCAACCCGCCGCAAAGGACTGGCTTGGTTGCTCTGACTCCACCATGGAGGCTGGTGCCTGTCCTTGTCGGCGTTGTCCACCGCGAGCTCCGTTTGCACCACACTCCCCCTTCTCGCTTCAGCTTCAGGGCTTGGCATCTGCTGCAGCGCAGCACAGCGCAGAGGCCGAAGACACAGGATGAGTAAAGCCACACAGGACACATGCTAGGCTGCGTGTTGGTGTCTTTCTGAAGCCCAGTTCCCAATCCATACAAACCTCTAACATTGTCAATCGAGACGTGGCCTAGCTTCATGTCAGTCCTGCGAGCCGATTGGTCCTCTTTTTCTAGCTTGGCTTTTCACGTTGCCCCAAGAAGTTTCCTCTCGGAATAAGCCTGTGGTCTCCACAAAGTCCTGCTCAGATGCCGCAGATGATCCAAGCCGTGCTGAAGACAGACGAGGCGTGGTGAAAGCCCGTGGACTTTTTAAAGTTGATGTTTGCGAAGGCGAGCAAAAGCCTGGAGTGGGCCTACATCTCAGCCTCGGTGCACCAAATGCGATGTTCCCCAATGTCCCGGTTAGCAATTCCTTGCTTCACAACTTTGCCGGGTTCGTCGCGCACCGAAGCCGGTGCGATGCTTTGCGTAATTGCAAGTTTTTCCAAGGTTCTAAAACGAGGACTCCTCATACGCGATGCAAGAGGCATTGAGGTGACCGAGCACTGCCTGAACGCTGGCCTTGGCTTTCTAATGAAATCACTGTGTGTCATTGCGCATTTGCATTTGCACGCATGCGGCTGCGTCCTGGAGGCTTTGGCTACCCATGCTGCCAAAGAGACGTGGCGGAATCTTTGCGGGCCAGCTGGCGCTGTTTCGTGCGTGAGTTTCGTGATACACAGCTTCATCGATGGGTGCAGGCGAGCAATTCTCCAGAGTCTGTCCAGCCCATAGAACTCCCGAGGTCAGTGTTGCTGTGAAGTTGCAGAATATCCATGGCACCGGCGCCAACATGTTGCGAGGCTCAACCTAGCAATCCAAGATCCCGATGGGCTCAGGCACGGGGTCCTGCAACCTTTGTAAACGGCTCGGCTCTTCGCTTCGCCAGGCTTAGCCCTGCAGCTCATGCTGCAATCGTGTTGGGCATCCCTGCGCGGGAGGCGCGAAAGCCCTTGTGGTGCTGCCCACGAGGATTCATCAAGCCGCTGAGCCTCGCTAAACGGTTGAGCGTAGTCTTTCGCCAGGTTTTGCTCAAAAACAGGGTTCTTGTTAATGTGAGGGAGGATGTCGACGTTTTGTGCTTTTCTGGGGTCGGGTGGGTGGTCAACGCCATGATTTGTTTCACCTTGTCTCCCCTCATTTATGGGACCTTCACAAAGAGGAGCAAATCAATCGAAAAGGGTTTATGGCCTACTGGAATGGCTGGAACCAAAAGCATCTTGAGAAACCGAAGCAAACCGTTCGCAAGGGACTCAGCAGACCGAACGAAAGAGACTAGAGACGTTGACAAGGAGGGAGTTTGTTTCGTTGGCTCAAGCCGGTTTGGCTCAAGACAGACTTCTCGCCCAACCAGAGCTTGTCCGGTGAAAGCAAGCAGCCAGCACCTCTAATCCCGCGGCAAGGGCATGGGCCTTGTCTCTTTGTCTCTCACAGACTTCTTGCATCATCGTGCCTCTTCATTCACTTCATTCGACGCTTGTCAACCCTGGTCTCCCTTCATTGTCTCCCTTGTAGGGGGTGTTGTGAATGCCCCAAACAGGTCACTGTAGGGTTCGCCTTTTTTCCTGACAGAGAACACCGACGTTTTGTGCTGCGGGTGGGTGGCTGATGCCAGAACCTTCGACGGCTGTCCCCCATTGTCTCGTTTCATGTGGGCTCTTCAGGTCAAAGCCAGGTATTGCATGAACTGTTTTTTGAAACGGTGGTGTGGTGGCCTTGCGAGCAGGTCCATTCAGCCTGGGCCTCGATATTTTTTTGGATTGCAGCCGCGGGTGTGACACCACACAATGATTTCTCTGTATTTCCGAGGTATTGCCATCGAAGCTCCGCTTCGGCGACTTGGCTTGAAGCTGTGCCGCGGGATCACTTTGAACATCCTGACGTGCGTGCAGTCTACCGAGGGCCCAGCGCTCAAAGTCTCTTCCTCGACTTAAGAAAGAAGGGCCGGGCACCAAGCACTCGCAGTGAAAAGTCTGATCGTGCTTTTCGCCAGCTGAACAGCAGAGGTATCGGACCCGAAGGAGCAGCACGGCAGACTCCTCAGACCGGTCGGCCTTGCCTCGTCACTGCGGCCGCTGCGCAGCGCACAGGTTGGAGTTTCCAGGCCGGCTCCGCGAGCTGGACCTGGACTTAACCCGTCGGCAGACCTGGTATTGCCTGCTGTGGTCTTCGTCGGTCCGATGCTACTTGCTGTGACTTCTGCGTGATGCGGCTCCTAGCCCTCCCGTCATGCAGCGGCTTACAGTTCAGCCAACTTGTATTCAACCTTCAATCCCTCACACTTTGAGCCAGCTGCCACTTGCCATAACAAAGAGTCCGAGCAATAGAATTGAAGGCTTAGAGGATAAGGTGGTAGTTGCTGCCAGCAGCCTGACATGCCTGGGCGCGTGTGGGAAGTAATCGGTGGCGAGCAAGCGGGCGGTCTCGTCGTTCGAAGCAGTGACACTTGTCGTGAAAGCTTGTGGTTCGTTGTGGAATAGTCTGTTCTGTGGCGGCTTTGCCGCTGCTCGAAGCTCCGAGGTTGAGCTCTCGTCCCCGAAAGTGGAGGGCAGGCTGTCAACAGGAGCGCACCAGAGAGCAGAAAATCTCACTTTTGGGCCGACGCCGGGACCGGACAGGCGCCACGGTGGAAGAAGTGGACTTGCAGCGCGACCGGTTGCATTACAAGCGGCTCACAGGGGCTGGGCCCGACTCTGGCTGGGTGTCTCTGAAGCTGAAGGCCGGACACTCACCGGAAAAAAGGGCAGACAGAGCATCGAAGCTTTCGGAAAGCGCGTGCGCGCGCGCAGGAGAAGCCGCTCTTGCAACCGAGGCCTCAGGACCACTTTATGTCGACGCATCTTTGTTGTAGGTGGGGGGCTACAGCTTGTGGCCTCGTGAGGACTCGGCTCCAGATGGCCGGGCTCAAGACCTGGCCAGCCTTTTTGGCCCTCTAGCTGGTGCCGAGATTGAGACCATCTCGCTTGCACCGGACGTGCGACTCCGTGTTTCCACGAAGCAAGGCAAGAAACGGCTTAGCCAGAGATTCAAGAATGCAGCTGACTTGCGCTGATGCTTCCTCGAATGTTGTCTCATCTTCGCCGGGAGCACAGCAGGCACACAGGCAGTTGCGTCATCTCTTCCAAGTTTAAGGATCAGCGACATCCATGTGGACCAAAAGCAGAACATGGATTGGTTTCGGAAGAATCTGCCTCAAAAGTCACCGGACCAGTTCAAGGTGCTCATCTTGCCCGGAGCCTTGGCACAATCCTTTCTGACGAACTGCGGCCCTAAGATTCAAGACTGGAGAGGAAGTTTGGAAGCTTCTGATCTGCTAATGAAGGAAACCAAGGCACAGCTTCACAAGCTCGTAGAAAGGGGCACCGGGACACGCATGTGAGGGGTGAGAATGCTGCATCATCAGTCATGTCATAGGGGGTATTGAAGTGTCTGGATGCAGCCAAGGCGATGTCGCCGATGACATGGCCGTGCTTCGAAGGACTTTCGAGATGCTAACTGTGCCGCGGTTCGAATTAGAGCTGGAAGAAGATATCTGCACGAGTTGTAGCAAGAGTGTTGAAGAGCAGTGTCCTTTGGGGCCGGCATGCTACAAGCAGGTTGCGCATGCTTTCAAGAATAAGCCAGTTGTGCTGATCGGCGCAGCACGAGCCAGAAGCTGCTGCCAAACTTGAGGCCAGCTTTGATATGGTGTGCTACACAGCGGGGAATCACGACTTGTGGGTGAGGCAGTGGCGAAGCAGTTCACCTTAGTCCGATCGATCAATCCACACTGCCTCAGGCGTGCCGGGAGTGCAGGAGACTCACTCGAAAAGCTGCGCGAGATTTGTCACCTTTGCAACTCCTTGGGAGTGCGTGTGCGGCCGGTAAAGTTCTGCCTGCCCAACGCGAGGGACGTGTTGCCACCGGGCACTGACTTGTCGTGCTACTCCATGTTGTGCTGCTTCAATCATGACACACCAGACTTCCTTGAGTGGACTTGCAAAAGCCCAAGCAAACCCCAAGGTTGGTGCCGCTGCTGTCCTTCTATGCATCCTGCTGGGATCAAGATCCCGAGCTAGATTGGTGCCCGCCAGAGCAGCCACTGGAAACATTAAAGGTTCTTCAGGTGCATCTATCCTTGGACTGTGGCGTCGAGATTCAGAGGTTTTGTGGCCTGAATTCCTTGAGCAAACTCTGTGCTCGCATGGTGGCTGCGTGCAAGGAAATCGATGGTCGGTTGGATGGACTTTCGGCTGCTCAAGTGGCCACAACTGCTGGTAGACGAAGTTGTGCGCAGGGAGGGCGATTTCAAATTTGGAAAAGATGGTACCTCCACGGCGATTAGTGTCGCTCGACTGGTGCGAGCATAAACCTTGCATGCATGTCTGCTAATATTGATTTCCCATTGTCCGGATACTTTGATTGCCGAGCTCTGCACGCGCTGTTGCTCCACAATTTAAGGAAATCTTCGCAGAAATGAACCAGCCGCTGCTGGAAGCCATCGAAGCCATGAAGCACGAGAGCGGTGACAGCGATACTGTTGTCATATCCTTTTCGCATTATTTGCCCAGACAGGCGAGACCAGTCCAAAAGTGCATTGGCAAAGTTGCAGAATTAATTCCTGCGAAAAGAGGATAGTGAATCGACAGAGGAGCTTTTCCCCGAGAAGCGGTTCTTGGTGGATTCCACATTGGCAAAGGCCAGGCTGGTTTATCCTGCTTCTGCCTTGTGCTCAAGGCATGTGCTGAGAAGGTCTCCGGCTCTGCTGCGCTGGAGCGTCAAGTCCGGCGATTGCGGCCGGAACTTCACATCTTCGGGCATTCGCATCTCACGGTCGACAACGTAGTAGAGGGCCAGCGCTACCTGCAGTGGGCCCTGGGCTATGCCAACGAGCAGAAGGGAATGTCCAGAGCTGTCGGCGACACGGGCATCTTGGTTGTGTCTCTTGACCTCCAGTAGTGCTATTCGCCCCTGCAAGCTCACGGTGATTTTGCAGAGTTCCATTATCTTTGTGACGTGGAAGGTTCGATTCTGGTGGAAAGCCAGATGTGGCTCCCATCCAGGAAACTTTTTGGGGAAGGTATTTTGCCAAAGGCTTGCGAGATACTTCTCAGACTTGCCCTCATCCTATGGTGCGCGGCATGTTCGCTAAGCTTTTCAGCGAAACGAAGCCTTCGCCTCAGCATGCCCAGTGTTGTGTTTGCATCTGTGTCCATACCTCATATGGGAAGGGAGACGAGCAAGCGCAGTGATCCTAGTCCTAGCTTGCAAAGGCTGCCATATGATGACGAGTACTACTGGTCCACGCCGAACCCTGGCCCTGCGATCCCGACCTACGAAGGGCTTTATGATCCAGCATGGCGGATTTGAGAAGTGAAAACAAGAGACCTTTCAGGCTAGCTGCCGCTTGGTGCCGCGTGCCTTTCGTACTCTAACCATGCACTCGCAGGAGAGCCTGGAAGACGAACCAGTGCAACAGGAAAGAAGTAATTAATTATGTAGCCAGCAGCAGCTTGCCACATGCTTGAGTCTTCATAGAGTCCATGCAAGCTACCGCAGCGCTGAAGTGCAAGGTTGCGGCATCCGAGCTGTGGGAGCGGCTGGGCTGCGGCTGCCAGGGACTCTGGTGAGGTCCGGAGCAGGGGTAAACGGGGCTGTAGCCCTTGATGGTTCACTATACCACAGCAGCCACAGAACCTTCTGCTGTGGCTGCCGTCATAGGCTGCGCCTGCTCTTGCAGAAGTGTGACATCGGGCCAGAAGGGGCCAAGGCCCGGCTTGTGAGGCACCAGAAGAGGCCTCCTTGCAAAGATCGCAGGCATTGGCGCTGCCTCCGACTTTGGAGCGCTTGGAGCTGGACCTCTCGCCATGACCTCGGCAAACAAGCGGCCGCTGTGGGGGTCCGCCTTGCGATAGGCAGAAGCAGCCCTCTTGGACATTCGGAGTCTGTCAGAGGCATTGTCTCATCGGTCCGCTTGGAGCTTCCAACCTTCAGGCCAGGAACTGCAGTTTGCGATGCAAGGCATCAAAAGCAGCACAGTGACCGTTCTGGTCTGAGTGCAGCAAGTTACGCTGAGTTGCCACGGGGCCTGGCTGAGCTGGACCTGAGCCTGCTGCGGTGTGGCGTCGGAGATCGTGGCGCCAAGGTGCCTCCCTGTGATGTGTCTCAGTGTTGCGGTTTCGGAGTAAGTGAGTTCGCTGGCAGCAGCAGAACGAGCAGGGCCAAATTGGAGCACAAAGCTTGCTCGCTGTTTCTTGCTGTGACATCGTCCGCAGCCGTGAAGGTATTCCAAGATACTCGTAGGGAAATTTAGTGCGTCAGCTGGGCCGCCACCTCGAGGCCAGACGATGAAAGACAACAGGGACCGCAGGAAGAGAGTGTATGCGATTTGTTTTACGGGTTATGAGGGTGTGCTGCAGAACAATGCCTCACGTATTTCAGTTCGTCAAACCACTGCCACAATCCAGCCCAAACTCCAATCTCCCTGATCTGCACTCGATCACCTCGCGTTTCCCAGGCTATGCAGCCGCCCTGGCTGAGACGCTTAGCAAGCAACGCTCCAACTTCGATAATGTTGTTGAGTAGGAGAGTCGGCCCCAACATGAGCTGCCGAGGTGGCTATGTGCTAGCGGTATGCTGGACACTGGCGGCCAGCGCTGGCTCTGGCGATGCCACTAGCAACCACACCGAATGCGATCAGGCCATGCATAGAGCACGCTATGGATGATCATGCTATCTTCATACCAGGCACGCTAGCAACGCTTGTCTGGCCACCGAGATATCAAAGCACCGATGGTGCTTTTCAAGAGCAGGTCTGTCTTTAGGTCTTCCTGGGTCGTCAAGTCTGGCATGGTGTGCGATGTAGCATAGATATCCCAAGTTCACGGATGCTGATTAGAGAAGCCGACCCGCAAGGCCCCGTCCCAAACGTAAGTAGGTGAGTCAAAAGCGGAAATGGAGAACGATGTAAATGTGCAACGGCTTATGTAACGGTACTTCAACAGCGAGAGGCCGCCAGAAGGATGGTTTGCGGCTTGAAGCGACTATTGAAGCTGGCAAGTTTGCATTTCCTCCTGCTGACCTAATGTATGCTGCATATGCAGGGCCATGGCCATACTGCATGGTGGAATCCTGATCAACCTTGGGAGCCTATGCCGCATTGCTACGCAAGATGCCCGCCAAGACGAAACGGGTGCTTGCTGCAGAATCAGCCATATGCGCCCCGAGGAGTTCGAGCATTTCGAAGAAGTGACCGTGGTTGCACTTGTTGGACTCACATTGCCGCTTGGCCACAGAGCGCAGGGGGAGATTACAGATTGTGATTACAAGCATGTCAGCCTCCGAGGCTTGTCGATGCGGTCGAGCACAAGCTAGACCACTTGGCCGAGCATTCACCTGCCACTACCTTACGGTGATCATAGAGCCACCAAAACTGTTGTGATGGCATTGCGTTCCCGATGTCGTCAGGCATACGAGGAGGCATGCAAGCATGGCCGGAAGGAGACACTGCTGCGAGTCTTGAGATTTGATTAAGGAGGATTCTCGTTTGTCCGAGGAGGTGGCAGCACATGATCTTGAGAAGAAGAGCATGGAGCCCGTCTGGGGAGTTTTTCTGAATCGCGCGACGGCGGAGTTCACCGTGCTGGGCATTCTAGATCCTAGGTTGCAGCTGCAGAGCCTATAAGAAAACATTATCTGTTCACGATGGAACGTTGTTTCTTTTATATGTAAAACCACGTTTCGTTTCGGTCTCCGGGGTGGGTCGTGAGCCGTTTGCGGTTAGGTTCGGTTCGGTTCGGCTGGATAGTGATGCCGGGGGTGGAGGAGTGGGACAGGAGTTGGATAGAGCGGTGGGTCTTGAGATGTGGTTCGGTTTGTGGCGGTTCGGTTTTGCGGATCGGCTCAGTGGTTCTCGGTGCCCGGGGGTCATGTGGGTGGACGGTTCCGTGGCAGTTCGGTTCCGATTTGACGTTCGGTCCGCGGTTTGATCTTTGGGTGAGATTTCCAGTTGCTGCGTCACGCCATAAGTAAGCGATTTCGTAGGCTTATCCATCCAAAATCCACTGAGCCCATGGCGACAATCGACAGCAACAGTCGGATGTCTTTGGGTCTTTGGGTTTCCTAAGATGACAGGGGTGACGTAGTTGCAGGCTTACGAAGACAGGCTACTGGCGGCTACGGGGTGTTGATGGTCGCAGGGAGAGACGCAGATGTCGGCGGGTGCACGAACTCCTTGCCTCAATGGAAGAGGGGGCAGAAGCTGTGGAAAATCCCTTCTTGGCTTAATCGATCACCTCAGCCACGCACAGATTCCATGAAGATCCAGATCGTATGTTGTCACTCCCAACACAATCATGGTATCTAGTTGCGGGCCCCACCTGGCAAGGCCTCATGTTGATTTGTCTGGGATGTCCGTGGCAGAGAAGCTGGCGTCACCATTAAGAATCCCGTTCTTGTGCTTGTCGATTGGCACTCAAACTTTGCCGGAGAATAGACATCAGCATGCATCGACAATAACTTGGGGAGTTCGAAGCTTTTGATCCTAACTGCCACTAGAGCCCAGAATCCGGTTCTACATAACCTGTGGCACTGGATCGTTTCCATGGGTAGATCAGTTGTCGGGGCATGTTGGGGCTGTCGCGTTGTCGGGGCATGTTGGGGCTGTCGCGGTCCGGGCATTCGTTGGGCATGTGTTCACAGATGGCAGCCGCTAGGACCTCAAACGCACGATGTCTCGATGTCGGTGAGTTAACTTGAGGCCTTCGTGCTCTGGCTCTGCCACTCCCTGGGGGCCTTCACTGCCATTGAGCTGGCATTCGACCATGTGCAGGAATTTGCCCTTCCTACGACTGCAGAGGAGTACCGGCACACCACGGAGAATGTTCACATGAGACCGTGCAGAAGTGGAATGCTTTTCTCTCGTAATTATACTGTATTGTGGTATCGATCAAAAACGGCCCGGCTATGGGTGGCCGATGCTCAAAGCATTCGATCCCTAGAGCAGAAGTATCCGCCATCTCAGCGGCAGGGCATGCCTTCCACACATGCGCACCAATGTCGCTGACATACTGCACGTGCCTTTTAGGGATTCATCCCTGCTAGCAGAAGGCACTTGTTCATGACCTTCTTCCTTTACTACGTCATCGTGGGCTTGAGCCTGGTGAGGTCGCAGCATAATATGGCATCCTGGGCGGTGGCTCAGCACAATACATGCCTCTAAGGATGACAAAGGCTGTGCCGGGTCTTCACGTCGTTTTGGGAATGCAGGCTGGAGGTGGAGGGGTACGTGATGTCGGGCCTTTGCTCGCGAAGATGAGCTTCTCATTCACCGGTTTTCTGTTCTGGTTCCTTTCCGGACTCTAGATAGCCCGTGTCTTGCGGAGGGATCCTGTGCAAGTCTCCTTCCGCTTATGTTGACGTGTAGCGAGGACGGCAATGCGAACTGTGCCTTTGGATGCCGTTGCTTGCGAGGTCGTGTTGCATTGCAGGGTGGCAGGGTGCCAAGCGAGGCTCAAAACTCAACTAAACGGGTGCATCTGACACCCCGTTGCTGGGAACATCGTTTAAGCCAGCTGCGAGATAAACAAGCCGCCTAACATCTGCTGCTGCATACAGCAGTGCCGCAGAAGTGACGATTTTTGTATTGATGCTCCATTCGGTTGCAGCGCTCGTGCTGTACCATTCACCTGAGGCTTCGTCAACAGCCTTCCACGACGAGAAGGGCAAAACCAAGCATGTTGTCGAGAAGGCTCGCACTCTGCATGTCAAAGTTCCGAAGACTGCCACGTTTGCGGTGCTGGTCCTCCCTTGTGCAGTTGGGGTCTGGCCCTTTGCTTGCGCTTGACAGATGACCCTCAAAGCGCTCAAAGCGGCGCCGCATTCGGACCCCGTCGAGAAGGGGTCCGGTGACTTCATCCTCATGCGCTGCTCGCGAAGCATAGAAAAGCATAAGCCAAGTGTCACAGCAGGGAGCCAGGTTCGATGTTTGGGCGGTGGCACATCGAGCAGGTCAGGAGCAGCGAATCAGGGAACAGCGCAGTAGTGGTGCACGATTGGTGTGTCTCTAGATTCATTAGATGTTGCTCCGGCTCCATGCTGAGTTGGCCTCCAGGAGCTTGCCACCCTGAGCCATTTACGACCCTGGACCCTCTGAGGTCAAACATTCCTGGAGGCGCTTCAAGCCTGGTCTGGCAAATGGGAGCCTCGACATCAACAAAACCTAGCTGAGTTTGGCATGTTAGTATCGTATTGCAGAGCTGTCTTCGGCTAGGCGTTTTTTGACGATACGCCGCTTGGCAGCACTTTAGGCTTGTTGCCCATTCGAGTTTCTTAATCGTTGCCATGAGCGCCAAATCAAGACGAAACTTGTGCTGTCAACTTGAAAGAGTGCTGAGAAACCCTTGCCAAAATGCTTGAGTCGGACCTTGCCGACTGCTAGCTTCGCCAGAACGATGCAGAACGATGCTTCTGCGAAGGCTGGGCAAGACGATCGGAAAGGCTGTGCCGGTGGAAGACGGAGGCCCGGCCTGCGACAAGCATCCGGGTGTGCCCTCACTTTGATCACTTCTTGTGCTAGCCTGCAGGAATCGTAAGATATCTGGAGCCGTGGTTTCCCTTCGGACATTACCTTCTACTGAACTATCGCGCCTCAGCTGCCGTGATGCGATGACGGGTGGTGCAGTCAAGATATGTCAAGATGCGACGTGCGAGAAGTTTGCCAGGCTTCTTGCTTGACCGTGTGGTGGTCATCCACCCGATGGCACTGACATCAATGATCGTCATCAATGGCTGCTTGCATTCCCCAGGTGTGGCTGTACTGCTGCAAAGCTATTCTTGTGCGCCGGGCTGAGGCTTCCAAGCTCTCATCCACCGTTTTGGGATGGATTTCGAATTCAGCTTTGTTTGGATCATTGTCTTCACGATCGAAACTCGACTTCAAACAGCTGTGGCCTGCAATCTTGTTTGGGTTTTGCCGTCGAGCATCCTGCAAAGTCACGCGTGCTTCAGCTTTGCGGTGTCACTGAGATAACGGCGGTACTGTGGTTCGGGGCAGACAAGATGATTAAAGACCTGAAATCAGGCTCGCTCCTTCACTGCAGCTGCTAGCAGCTGCTATGTTCATCACAGCTTTTTCGGCCATGGCCAGGCCTTCCCCAAAACATCCTGTCGGTTTTCCGTGCGAGGCAGCTACAGTCACGGAAGACTGGCAGATCCACGATTTTCATTCTTGCATCAGATCCTTTTCTGAAGCTGTCGGCATTTCTACTTTATTCAGGTTAAGAGAGTGTTGATGAAGTAACCAAAGCCAGCGGTATCATTGCAAGCATTGCTCAGTTCGAAGCTGCCGATGTACCTTTGCCTCATCTTGCAAATCTGCATGGTCTACATTTGCTTCGAGCTTACTCGGCCACTGGTTTCTTGGCCCGGCTTAGCATCACCGTGTTCTCGGCGCTGAGCCAAGAGCTCGGTAGCCACAGTTGCATAAGACGACGCCTGAGAGGCTCATGACGCTGCCTGGCAAATAGACTACTGGCGATCAGTCGTCATGCGCTTATCCGAAGACATCTAAACTCAATTCACAGGCATGCACTAACGCATGGAGCGCGACCGCAGCCTGCCATACTGAGTCCCACGTGATCACGTGCTTCACCATTATGCCTCTCTTTGGATGGCTCGTGTGGGGATCCCAAGCCTGCACTTGGACACTATGGAGTCTTGCGTTCAAAGCATATCGAGTCACGCAAACGCGGCTTTTTGCGTGTCGCAATTCGGCGATTTAAGCCCAGGAAATTTGCTCGCCCGGCTTGCTATGACCCTGTCCTGCGGCTTCATGATCTCCGAAGAGCAGCCCAACCAAATGGTCTTTGGAGTTCTTACGAGACGGTGGTGCTTGCAACTTTTTGTGCGAAAATTCAGGGCTCCATGTGGTGCTTGTGGAGTCGGATGTGGAGTCGTTTGTGTGAGTGACTGTGGTTAGCTTCGCATGGTTTTCTGCATTGTGGCTGAACAATGGCGAAAAGGAGCGTTTGATGGCTTGGTATTTTAAATTTTGTCTCCAAAGCGTGGCACTGAGGAACATTCTGCGTATCCTGGCATCAATTTAGATCTGGGCGGAAATCGAATCAGACATGTACAGAGATCCCTCATTGTCTACAGCATCAGCCGCCGTGTCATGTGGCTCTGAAAGAGAATCAGAAGGCTCGTGAATGCTGACACGAGTGCACGAGGCATACAGGTCATGGTCGAGATGCACATGGAGAGCCGCTTGCTGCAAAGACTCGTGTGTTTTTATCGCTGTTGCGGCAGCGGTGCTCGGCTCTGTGAGGTGTCGGAAAGGAGAAGAAGGAAGTTTCACATCAACACATCCAGACTGACCTGAGCCAGGCCAGGCCGAAGGGTCTTCACAGGGTCATGTGGTGCAGGGCACCTGCTGCAATTGGCTGACGCTACAGTGAGATCCAATATTCAGCCCGGCGCAACGATCAGCCATGCGAGGCTTACACTACGGTGGGACTGGATTCACTATGACTGGTCGCAGCCAGAGGCCGCGGACCGGACTGAGCCGTCCTTTTCAAAGTTTTTACGATGCTTGTGGTAGCCTTGTGGCTGCCCATTGTCCAAAAGCAGCCCCGACATGGAAGCTGGAAGCATGGGCCCAAGTCCCAACCGCTGGACGAATTCAGCGACCAAGCTGCCTGAGTAAACACGGGCACACGGTACTTTTTGCAAAGCACGTGCTGAGAGAGGCACTACGACGGCTGCATTAATTTGTGCTTGCTGGTAGGTCCGTGGTTCGTATCTTCAGCAGGCATGCTCAACACAGGTTCTCAGATAGAGCGGACCCGCCATACATCCGCTTCCTCTATCACCATTCAACCAAAGAGGTGTGGAGAGGAACTCGGTTCTTGGAAGCCCAGCGAGCCAGGAAGACTTAGCTGGCGAAGGCTAGATTCGATATTCAGAGCGTAGCTGTGTATGTGATCGCTTTAGCTCCCTTGGCCACACTCAGCTCAAGCTGTCACGGCCTGTAACTGGGAGTTTGTGCCTGGCCGATTGCACGTTAGGCTTGGCATGTGGAATGGCGTATAAATGAGGTTGGACATGTGACATCATGTGACTCGCGAGGTCGACCGACTTCCAATTGGGGTCAAGCACAAACAATCGGCACGGCTATTTGCGCACAGGTCCTGAGAATTTCAGGCTGTTCTGAACGCGCCGGTCCGTTTTGGTGCGAACCAACCGTGTGAAAGCAGACCGTTGGTCCCAAGCTACTGATTGTCAGGCTGTTTGGACAGACGGAGCTGGCAGTGATGCGAGCTTGAAAGCCTTTGTCTTGTTGAAGCTTGTGGTGTGAGGCGCTCAACCTGCTTGAACCTCGGGCAGCTCAGTGCAACACTGTGGTGGTGTAGCTGCACGCGAAATCCTCTTTGAGTTCTGTCCCAAGAAGGCCTGATAGCATTCGGAAGCTGCGCTTGGACTTGGCCCGCTGTGCCAGAGGCCCAGACCGTGGCTTTGGTAAGTCCGGTAACTCCGAGCGCCCGCATTCACCGAGGAAATTGGAGCTGAAGGCCTCAAAGGCCTACGGACCTTCCGTTTTGAAAAGAGCACCGGGGGATGCTGCTGCTTCCCGCCTTTATTCTACTAAATTAACAACAAGCTGGATCGGAAACGCCGCTCCCGTTTGAATTTCGGATTTTTTCAGAAAGTTGAAAAGGATAAAGCGAACTCCGTTGTTCCCAATGGCTTGCATAGTCATCGTCGTAACATCTACTGTATCGCTTTTTCTGTGCACATGTTTTGCCGAAATCTGGAGGTTTTGAGATATATGTTGGCTTTTGCTTGTGCTTGACGTTGTGACGAATCCCGGTGGGTTTTCTTCGCACCTACGCAAGACTCTGTGATTACCTCCGAGTTTCGGACGGGCACATGTGCATTGCGGCGACTTGGTTGACTTTTGCGATGATGGCGGACAGCTAGCATTGTCTTCCGGCGAGCACACAGTAGCATTCTCTCGATCTGTGCTGGAAACGGTGAGAGAGAGCGAGAGAGATATAGATATAGATATATGTATATATATATATAAATACACACACACACATATATATATATATATTTGCGGGTGGGCTTTATGTCCGGGGGTCTTGACCGACCCCCATGCCCGGGAGAGAGAGAGAGAGAGAGATATATATATATATATGAGTGGGCCACAGAGTCCTCCCAAGCGTCCTGGACGCCATCGACGACCTGCCACCAGACGTCCCACTCACAGGGGACACCCAAGGCGTCATGCTCCAACTCACGAATGGTTTCTGGCAGCTAGCAGTCGAAGCTGCCCCCGGAACCACACCGACAACCGGTCGACCCAGGACCGTAGCCGTTGGTGAGCAAGGAACAGCAGACACCGCCCCACCGCTCAGCTGTGGCCTGGTGGGGACTTTTGCCCCGATGACTCCGAGACATTGGGTGTTCCTGATCACACAAGCACCCGGTTCCTTCGAACACGAGCTGGGATCGATGCTTTTGCAGGAAGGAGACAAGCTCCCTTTCGAATACGCGGAACAACATCGTCCTCGAGCCATCCCCCAGGCCTCCACCAGCAGCAGCCCCGGCTTCCCGTCATCCAAGAAGAGCCGTCGACAGGGGGATCGGCTGATGCAAGAGCAGAAGCCGACGAAGAGCCCCAGGCCGCAGAATCGCACAATCCTCACACGAGACACCCTTCAGCTACTACCCAACACTACCCAAAACCGCGAGCGGCAGCAATCACTGGGATGGACGACAGCTACGACGAAGCCAGCCGAGCAGACTCCCCGCCACGGAACCTCAACAACTACCACCTTCCTATACAACATCATACAACACCACTTGCTGCAAAGCTCTGGGACAGCAGACACATTCCCAAGCGAGACAAAGCAACTACCAGTACTACCACCCACTACGCCAGTACCACCACTAACACCGCATAGTAGACTGCTCAAATGACCCTGACCCACCAATGCGAGACAACAGCCACCACGAGCGATGCCACCTCCACGACAGCAGCAACAGCACAGACTTCCTACACACCGGGGAATGACGCGCAGGTCCTGATGAAAAACACCTTCAGTCAGAACAACAACCGCGGCAACACGGGGGAAGCCACGGCAGAAACACTGGCTCAAAAACACCCACCGCACACCCCACTACAGACATGGCCAACGAGCCAGCAACCACGGCAGCCGCAGCAGCAGGAAGCAGCAGCGATGGCCCCCCTCCCCAGGGGGAACAGCATTCTACGCTCCTGGGAACGCGTCGCAAGAAGCCTGACTGAAATCCACAGGCTCGCCAAGACTTTTGAAGGGACAGCAGGGGAAGGGATAGTTTGGAACGCTGAGCATGCGCTGCTCAACCTCCTGGTTGACTCGCAAACAGCGGAGGAACTGGAGCTCAGAGATGACCCCCCACCAATCGGGGAACCTTCAGGAGGGGACAGACTGTCCAAAGCCGTCGCAGAGACATAGCAACTATTAGCAACTCCGTAACTTAGCTAGAGCCTTGCTCACAAGTCCTGCAACATGCATTTCCTGCGCGACCGCAGCACCGCATGCTGCTCGCATCGTGCAATGGCTCGAAAGTGTCTCGGCGGGGGACATTGCACTCCGCTTGAGGCTCCCACCCATCCTGACGCCCCTGGGCGAGGCCTTGAACTCCATCCTGGAAGAGAACAAAGGGAGGACGACATGGGCACGACTGGTGGCTGCTGGTGGAACATCGCCTCTCTGCCAAACAGACACAGCCAAGCTCGCGAGCGCGGGAACCCATCACGTCCACGACAGCCCGCTGGGGGACGAGATCCCCCCCAATGGTACGTCGATGTGGAAACCCTGCGCAGTGTACTGCAACGAGCTGAAGGGGCCACCGAACGTCTTGCCGATCCTCCAGGAGGCCACGATGAACCTCTTGCGTGCCATCTCCAGGCTGGAATCACAGCGGGGACTACCTGGAGACCCTCAACCCTGGTGCCCAAGTGGGCCCGCCCCTTATGCCCGAAGGAAGAGGAAGAACAAGAAGAAGGGAGAGCGAGAGAGAGAGAGAGCGACAGCAAACTCGATGGCATTGTCATCTTGCAGATGCCTCTGAAGCTTCATAGGCCTTATATCGAGTAATGAAAGCAAGGCTCGACATGGCACGAACGATTCGTCTCTCATTGGCTTTACGTGGAACATCCGTAAGACAGGCGGGATCCGGAAGGTGCCATGCGACTCATGCTCTTGCAGGCCTGCGCTTGCCTGGGCGCCTGACCAGCCTGATGTTAGCGCGGCTCTCGGCTGTCGGCGGGAGACTGGCATCGTGCACACAATCTGAGCTGCTAGGATCTGACAATGTGTTCTGTTGGACCAGAGCAGCTCAAGGCTCCGAGTAACTGGGATCGGTGAAATTAGCTGCTTCAATGCATTATCCTAGATCGGAGGCATTCATCGCGACCTTGCCGAAGACTTTAGAGGTGCGCATGCTGCACTGCGCAGCGTCAGCAGAGGGCAGCATGCCAGCACGTGCGAGCCCGTTCACCTCGCACTATGTAATTAGTTGTTCACCTCGCACGATATAATTCGTTGTTGCCTGCTTGCCAGGCCTTGGAGATGAATTTGACGGGCTGCAAGGCACACTTTCACTTTAGGAAATGAGCTTTTGTGGAGAAAGGCAGTTCCGGGTACTGGGGCTGAGCATGCTCACGTGCGCCAGAGGGTGTTGCACCCTGTCCGACAACGCTCAATCAAGCTTTAGGGCAATGCACAGTGCGGCAAGGTGAAAGAGGCTTCTGTGGCGATGCTCCAGCAGGCTAGGACCTCAACGTGGAGAGCATCGTGCCAGATTTTGGACTTGTTTGTCTGCAGAGCCTAGTTCTACCAAGAAGGCCCTGAAAGCTAAGAGCCATGCGCGCATCAGGGTCAGCCAGACTTGAGGGCACAAGGAAAATGACGTGCATTCCGACTTCACTAGCGAACATTAATAGCTAAAAGTCTACGCAGCGTGATTCGTTTTCTTGGCTAGGAGATCCGAAGAACCAACTGTCTGCGCAAAGACTGAGTCAGGCTGACTGAAGGGTAAAGTTCTACGCAGTTGGGATGGCTTCGGAATGCTGCCGCGTAACATGCTGCAATTCGCAAAATGTCGGCTGCCAACCGCCGACAAGTCAGAAGCCTGGCACTGGGACACGGAGGACCTTGAACTTGGACGCAAGGGTGAAAGTGCGCGGTTGTGCTGCTCTTCTTGCTGTTTGCCTGGCAGCTGTTTCAAAGGCGCAGTAATTTAGAAGGGGCTGGTAAGGCTTCATTCAAGATGAAATCTGCGACATGTGGGTCATGTAATCTTCAGATTAGGTCGTCAAAGCTCGATTGCCGCTGACAGCAAGCCCCAGCCTCGGTGCTGCAGGGACTGCCTTTTTGTTGATTTCATGTCGATACCGACAGCTGGACATTTGACAGCGTCTTTGGGTTTATGTCAGGCTTGATGCATACTGTTGAGCAGACCGGTTTGGCTTCGTGAAGAGATGCCGGTCTGGACCGAACTTGGCTTCCCAAGCTCAGCAAGCACTGCGCTGCGAGGTCCAACCTTGGTGGTCTAGCGTGGCAAGATCGAAAAGGATGCATGCGGGGGTTGATCGCAACCTACCAATGAATGTGGGTACGTAGTCTGCCGTAGGCAAGTGTCAACATCTCGTTGAGGCATGCGAGCCTTCGAATGCATTCGGGGAACTCCAGCTTGCGATGGCACATGGCATGCATGGAACTGTTGACAATACTGGTATAGGACGCCTCCCTCAGCCAGATACGGCAGCCACAAATTCATCCAGATTAAGCTCCAGCTTTGCGTCGAAGCTTTTAAGCGACGTGTCATGAAGCTAAATGCTATGGTGTAGATTGCATGGCAGCAGAGGGCGGCCGGGAAGTCGCCTCACGTCTTCGAGGCTTCGGGGGCCCCTGAAGTGCAATGCGGCTACTTGAAGCTCTGAAGTTGCGAAGCGACGAGATAGTGGCGTCAGAGTACGTCAGAGTAGTGAAAAGCCAGGGCCCGTGCAGCGAGTGGCCGACGATGTGGCAGACGCGTCCCTTGGCACTCGGCCGTTGGAGCACCTACCACAGACCAAAAGAAGGTTGGTTGGAGAGTTAGCATGAGTCAGCATGAGTTCGAGGCTGTTTTTGCCGCCCTGCGTGCTCAAGGTGGGGGTTTTCCAGCGAACTCGAACGGAATGCGTGTGTTCGTTTGCTGACGTGCCGTGTCAGCGTGAGGTCCGCAAGAAGCAGCCGGGACACTGGGCGACTGCGAGCTCCGGTCCGAACCTTCAGCCGCCTACAGTATGATATGATACAATACAGTATGTTATGGTATAGTATCTATAGTATGGTATAGTATATAACAGTATAGTATCGTATAGTAACAGTATAGCATAGCATAGCACAGTACAGTATAGTATAGTATAGCATAGTATAGTATAAAGGGCATCCCTTTCACAAAGGGCACAGGCCTCACAGCGAGCTCTGTGTTCTTGCTGTGTTGGATTTCGGCTCGAAAGAAGCCGTGAGTCAGTAGCCGTGGTGGGCCGTTGTCTTGATGCCACGGCTACGATCCCATGCGTTATTGCTGGGCCTTAGCCTTCCTTCGCTTTTAAGCTTGGGCAGGTTGGGATCCCTCTTTGTAGGATGGTCAGGAGCTCGAGGGAGAGCAGAGCAGAGTGCAGAGAAGCGAGCTGAGCTTGCTAGCAAAGCAACCAAGCAGCTTTGGGATTCGGCTTGGGATGCCTTGGTCCCTTCTGGGGCGGACGGCAGCTCTATCAGCAATCCGGAGCTGCTTCGGCTGGTGAAAGAGAGTATAGACGAGACTTATTTCGACGACGATGGACTCCGGCAACTTCCAAGGGTGGAAGGCCTTCCCGGTGGAAAAAGTTTCTTTGAGCGGATGAACGAAACTTTCTGGGCATATGGTCCCGTGGTTGTCGCGCCTCTGGGGCCCTTGCGGACGATCAGTATCTCGGATCCTGGTATCGTCAAGTGCCTTAATCGCACCTTTAGGCCAAGCATCGACAGTGCTTGAGGCACCACTTGCGTGAAAGAATTCTTGGACATGCTTGGACGAGCGTGGCTCAGGTATATCCTTTCTCAGAGGGAACTGTTCGGCAAGGGGTTCCTGTCAGCGGTTGGTCAGGATATCTTTGGCAAGGCGCTGATTACAGCAGCGGTTTCTTGATCGCAGTCACTTCCTAAGTTGATAAGTCGAGTGGCTTTGCTGTCAGAATTGCGGCAGAACCAAGCGCCTCTATTAGTAGCCAGAATTGTGGTTAGACGGTTTTGTTTTGGAAGGTCGTATCAGTTTTGTTGTTCGTGTCAAGGACTTCCGTTGAAGCAGTTCATGCTGTCGTTTCTCAACGAGCTCGTTCAAGCAACGAACACTCCCCTGTAACATTTGGCCGCACCCCTGTTGCAAAAGTATAATCGTTGTTGTTCAGATTTAAGTGCATGGACACGACGGCACCCTGTCCTTCGATGCATCTGCCCCGCGACATGTTTGCACCATGCAAGAGCTGCCGTGAATACCGACGGGTTTGGTCTGTGCCACATATGCTTCCAGTGGAATTTTGGCACATGCCCTGCTTGCGGTGCTTCACCGGAGGTGAGGTGCACTGCATTGTAGCAGAGTGTCCGGTTCCATTCCCAGCGTTTCTTCTGGAGATGTTGCGAAATTTGGAAGATCCAGCATTAGTGCAACTCTCCCCTTTTGCACACTCGCGCAACCAATCCAGATCCAGATCGCTTCGCACAATGTCCCACGTCCGCGCTCCATGTCGCGGCTTGTTGCACATGTAGTCATATGTTTTCATGTACCCAGATATCAAGCTCTTGGAACACTCCCAGATGCTCATGCCTGCGATCAATGCCCGACTGGAAGACCCAACCAAGGATCGTGAACTTTGGCAGTCGAGACGAGCTGCAACAAGTGCGGGAGCTTTTGCATGCATCGAGACTGGCAGACTTTGTAAGCGTTTGTGTCTTGCAGCAACTACCGAGCACCGCGGCCAAGGCTTCCATGCACAGTGGCTGAGGAGCCTTTCTGAAGATTTTGTCCATTGCACTGTCGGCGCCTTACCAACTTATCGAACAATAAGGGAGCGACTGTTCCGACAGCGCAAGATCTAGGAACGTTCGTCTCACTGACTGAACTTCAGACTCAAGCCATGCGGCTACTGGATGATCGGGTCCGGTATGGAGAGGCCATCCCGGATGGTGCCGACGCGCTAGCATCTGAACTAACTACTAACTTGTCACTACCAAGTGGGTGACAACAACTTGTCATTACTCGCACGAACTTTCGCCTGCCGTTTGCCGTAGCACACCAGAGTCACCCGAGCATCGTGTTTCCGCTAGGTGGTAGACATGGAAAGCTTCTTTTTGAACTTGGCCCTCGACACTGTTGGTCGTACCATCTTCGGCTACGACTTTCAAGCGAGCGAGCAGCCTCCCAACAGCCCACAGTCGCCGATTGTCCGGGCAGTCTACAGGGTGCTGAAAGAGAGCTTGAGCAGCACTTACATTGCATGCCGACGCAGGACTCCTAGTGGCACAGTATAGTTCTGTCAGGACAGAGTACCGACAAGCCAACCTTGCGAACCTGCTGTTCATGGGGGCTCCGGACACATTGGTGGATGTCGCAGCTCCAAGCGTGGCAGAGTACAGGTCCCTGGCCCGAAGATCCGTAGAACGAAGTGCCCGAAGACGCATGAACTGTGCAGACAGGCAGAGCCTTCGGAGCATTGATGCCGTACTCGACGATCTCATCGGTGCAGCGTTGCTTGAACAGAGGCTCACAGATGAAGCAGACGCTCTAAGCCGCAGTAGTCTGAGGATTGAACGAGCAGGCCAGCGGAGTCGTCCTCTCCTGTTGCTTTAGTTTTAGAATACTATAGAATCACGAGAAGCACGCATGGGCCGAGCCGTGGCCCAGTGGTCTGAGGAACTCCGCCGGCGATCCGGCGGAACGCTCCTCCAGTTCATCGTGGACCTCCGTGGAAATCAAGCGAACAGAGAACAGCTCCAGGAGGGCCAACCTACGACAAAATCCAGCCTAAGGTCCGCTGGAAAACCTTATTTGTAGTAACTTAGTAGCGCCTTTGCAGTTCGTAGAAACCCTTCTGAAACCTCTATAGTCTCGCTAGAACAGCCTGAAAGTGCGTAATTTCCTGCCTTTCTTTCCCGGAGGATGACCTGCGGACATTGTTGATTGCGGGCCATGTGCCCTGAGCTAGTTTAGAAGTTTAGACTAGATTCCTAGATTCTACCAATCCGAGTTTGGGGGCTTTGGGGCATCCGAGGAAACAGTGGCCAGCACGCTAACGTGGGCTGTCTATGAGCTGGCCAAGACTCCCGAGGTCATGGCGAAGGCCAAGCGAGAGGCGCCTTGGCTACTGCTACTGCTACTACTACTACTACTACTACTACTACTGCCTCTGCTACTACTACTACTACTAC